CGGCCCGGCACCGTGCCAGCCCCCGGCTCCGGCCCCCTGGCCCAGCACCACGCCGGCCCCCGGCTCTGGCCCCTGGCCCAGCACCGCGCCGCCGGCCCCTCCCGAGCACCGCACCGCCGGCCCCTGCCCCAGCAGCCCCGGCCGAGCACCGCCAGGCCCTCCCTCCCTATTTTTCCGGACATGTCCGGCTTATTGGGATTTCCCCCCAGACGGGGATTTGAGGCCCGAAAATCCGGACATGTCCGGGGAAAATCCGGACGTATGGTAACCCTACCATTGGCTGTAATTCTCGGAGTCACTCCCCGCCAGGAAGGGCCGGAACGCAGGGGCTTTAGGGGCTGCAGCCCAGGCTAAGTGGGCCCCAGAGCCCTGGGCTGCAGGCTTCAGCCCCTAAAACTCCGCTCCCTTTCTGAACCCGGCCCTGCGAGCATGGGCTGGAGGACTCAAGTGGAGCAGGGGCAGCCACGCAGCTGGAGAGAAGCAGCGGTTTCCCCATCAAAGCGCCGCTTCTCTCTGGCCGGCTGTGCCTCTGCCCTGTGCTCCTTCTGCCACCCGCACCTTCTGCATGCCCCTGAGACTGTGGGTGAGCCTCCCTCCCTGCTCTTCTGCTCCCCACAGCTTCTACCCCCGCACGCCCCCCCCCCCCGTGGAGCAGCCCCCCTGCAGGAGGTGTGCCGATGCTGAGCTGCCCGAGTGCCCGGCCCTGGAGCCCCCTGTTGTTGGGGGGCCTCATGCCAGGGCACTGTGTTTCATGGTAAATCTGCCCCTGCTGCCCAGGACATGGGAGCTCAGCAGTGCATTGTGGTACCTATCCCAGTATGCAATATCCCAGTATGCAAGTGGCTGAAGTGTGCTTTTCAAATGGTGGGGTGGAGTGTGATAGGGAGTGTGTTGTGTGTCTGTGGGGGAAGAGACAGTGTGTTTTGGGGGGCAGAGAGTGTGTCAGCATGCTGTCTTGTAAGTTCAGACAGCAGCAGACCCACCTCCCTCACCTCTCTCTCTCACACACACACACACACACACGCACAAACGCCTGCCTCTGCAGCAGGAGCAGTCCACAGTAATGGTTTGCTTTGTGTCCCGGAGCAGATAAGCATGCCGGCTGTCAGAAACGGAGCTTTGAAAGGGGATATCCGCATGCCTGCAGCCAAGTTCAAAACAATGACCAGAGTGGCCACTTGACTTCAGGGGATTATGGGACGTTTCCAGAGGCCAATCACAGCACAGTAATGCAACACATTGTGCACACTGACACCTGGGCGTTTCAGCCAGGGCGCAGCAAGCTCTATGCTTCTCGTGGGGGTGGATTACCAGGAGCGCTCCAGCCCCGGAGTCCAGGCACTTTAAGTGCCTTGCCAGTGTGGACACCTCAGGAGTTAGGGTGCCTAGGGCTGATTTTATGTACTCTAACTTGCAAGTGTAGCCAAGCCCTAAGATGACAGGAGAGAGATCTCCCTTTGGCATAATTAAACCACACTAACGGGCAATGGGAGAAACTCCTCTCCCAACATAGCACACTCCCATTTATGCCAGCGTAATTTATGTCACTCAAGGGGCTGGAATATTCACACCTCTGAGCGACGTACATTTTATCATTATAAGTGGTAGTGTAGACATGGCCTAAATTTAGGCCCTTTCTTTTAGCACCACAGCTCCAAAACAGCCGTCGGAAAGTGAGCAGGATTCTAGTTAGGGTCACATATTAAAAAAAACTTGTTAATTAATGCTTAATTTTCATTACTAATAATGAAATCAGTGGGTGCTATTTCAGTATATTTAGGAATGGATTCATGACACACTGGGAGATAAATACATAAAGGTGAAGGAAAAAATTAATCCAGTATTATATTGATGAATGGGGTTACAGGTTGCTCTGGAAGGGAATAATGTGTGACTTTACTAGCAGCAGTCCTGTCGACAACAACAAAGGGGAGGGAAAGAAGGAGGAGAGAATTGTGGAATACTTTTGAAAAATAACTTTTTTTCACAAAATTTGAAAAAAATTCAGCCAGCTCTATAGCTAGTTAAAAAATGACATTTTTTTCAAAAAATTCCTCTATTCGTTTGTTTATTTTTTTCATTTTCAAATGTCCCTATTTCAACCATGTATTTTTCCTTGGATGAGATATCTCCACTGATTAACATGGGTTTTCAGGAGCAGTTTGGGACTGATTGCTACCCAGTCTAGCTCAGCTGCCTCAGGGCCAGGACTGAAGGCCGGCAAAGTGTTGATTTAAGGTGAGTTTAACAATGAAGTTGGACATGTACAACTTTTTCTTGTTTATGAAGTATGAAGAAACCCTAAATGGTTGGGTTTTTTTAAAAAGTTCTATTTTTTTTCTCCCCTGCTGGTTTCATGCATTAGAACTGTAACTAATGTCAAGTCTAGTCTTCCCCATTTTGCTATAGGCTTGTTTTAGAAGACCCAGAAGTCTGGATCAGCCATTGATTAAAGGGATGAGGGTTATGATACTTCCACTAAAGAATTTTTCTTCTTACTCCTTTTTTCAAGCATCTCAATTAAGTAGGTTTTTAATAAAAACAAACGCCCCCTCCATTTTTAAACCAACCACATTAAAGAAAAAAAAATCACTGCCTCTCTCAGTCTAATTGACATAGTAACTGAGATCATAAACCTGCTATTTCTCCAGCCATTCAGATATTTTTCCAGGAAAAGGAGGGGAGACAAAACCTGAATTTTTACTACATTAAAACAAAACAGGAAAAGAAAAAAGAAAAAACTTCCAGTTCTACTTTTCACAATATAATGCAGCAGAAAGGCCACAACCCCTTTTTTGTTCTTTTACAGGCCATTTTTAAGCAAAGGGAGTGTCCCTAAGAAGCAGAGCCAGCCACTAGTTGTCCAGATTTGTCCTTTTGAAAAATGAAATGGCCTGGGGCTGACACAAGTAGCTTTGTGGGAGCCTTGGCCAGGGGCGCAATTTAAGGAGGGTGAAGAGGCTCCTCCTTCCCCTCCCGAGTTTTGCACCAGAGGTCTAGTCGCAGCACACGCCCCAGGCAGAGCTCTTACCTGCTGCACCATGCAGGCAGGTCCCCTCCTCCAGGAGCCGGGGTTGTCTGGTTGTGGCACCCACAGTCAGTTTCCTCCACTGCACTAGGGCCTCTGGGGATGGGGCAGGCAAGTAAAGAGTCAGTCAAGGTGGGAGGGGAAGCACAGGGGCCCCAGTTGTGGGGGGGAAGAAGCAGAGAATCCCCAGTGGCCAGGGGGGTTGGAACCGGTGGGGTGGGAAAGGGGAGTCACTCTAGGGAGAGGTGAGGGCCCAGGGCTGTGCCCTGAGGGAGAAAAGACGCTGGGGCAAGGATCCTGAGGGTGGGGAAGCTTAAAAAGGGGGGGGCTAGGAGCAGTTAAGTGGGTCTTGGGGTCTGTTTGCCTGAGAGAAGCAGGGAGCACCCTCACCTCTCCCTGGGAAGAGGCTGAGGGCAGACCCCACTAAGCTAATGCAGTCTCTCAACTGACTAATGTGCTCTCTGCCTTCCTCCCCATCTCTCCTACTTTAGGGTAACCTTAGAGTTACCATCCGTCCGTATTTCCCCGGACATGTTCGGCTTTTGCGTCTCTAAATAGCCATCCGGGAGGAATTGGTAACAAGGTTAAAATGTCCGGGTTTTTTTTCTCCCTCGCCTCTCTCCCTCCCTTCCATGCAGAGTGCGGCTGCTGATTGGGCGGCTGGGCTGATTGACCCACAGTCTAAAGCAGTTTTTCCAGGATCACTCCCAACACAGTCAAAAGAAGCTTTAACAAGACTGCAACCAACAGAGTCAAAAGGAGCTACTGCAGTGCCACACCCTTGCATGCAGAGTGCACCTCCAGAGTGGAATGAGATGATTCAGAGACAGATAGCAGCAGCCCAGTGTGCGGAGTCTGAGAAATATCAAGAAGAGATGAAACAGCAAGGGGGAATCTCTGATCTCGAAGAGCAACAGAATGAGGCAAGTCGGATACTTGGCACTTGAGTGAAAACTGACACCTCTTCTGAGATTTTAATGCTCAGCTGCTGCTGTCATTTAGGGCTGAATTTTCAGCAGTCTGACTTCACTTCTGCACACATGATTTGCAGGCACAGATCAAAATAATTCTGTCTCTGTGTGAGAAAGTCTGGGCACCAATCCTGCAAATACTTATGCACATGTTTAACTTCATGCACATGTGTAAATCCCTTTGAATCGTATAATACTTTGTAAATCATATGTGTAAATCTTTGCAGGATCGGGGTCAGGTGCTCAGTCATGTAATTACTAAGGGCATGGCTACACTCAGGGCCGGCTCCAGGCACCAGCATAGCAAGCTGGTGCTTGGGGCGGCACATGGAAGGGGCGGCACATCTGGCTCTTCGGCGGCGGGTCCCTCAGTCCCTCTCGGCAGGAAGGACCTGCTGCCAAATTGCCGATGAAGAATGAAGCGGCGGCGGTAGAGTCGCAGCGTAAGTGCCGCAGATCACGATCGTGGCTTTTTATTTATTTTTTGGCTGCATGGGGCGGCAAAAACCCTGGAGCTGGCCCTGGCTACACTTGCAGATGTAGAGCGCTGTGTGTTAAATCAGCCCTCGGAGAACACAGTAGGGAAAGTGCTGCAGTGTGTTCACACTGTCTGATTCAAGCGCACTGGCGTGGCCACATTAGTAGCTCTTGCAACGCCACAGAGAGCAGTGCATTGTGGGAGCTATCCCAGCATTCAAGTGGCTGCAACATGCTTTTCAAATGGGGGTTAGGTGTGACAGGGAGTGTGTTGTGTGTATGTGTGGGGGAGAGAGAGTTGGTTTTTGGGGTGCTGAGAACGTGTCAGCATGCTGTCTTGTAAGTTCAGACAGGAGCAGACTCCCCTCGCTCCCCCCTCTCTCACACACTCACAGCAAGCAGCATTCCACAGTAATGGTTGTTTTGTCCTGGAGCAGATAAGCATGCCGGCTGTCAGAAACGGAGCTTTGAAAGGGGATATCTGCATGCCTGCAGCCGAGTTCAAAACAATAACAAGAGTGGCCACTTGACTTAAGGGAATTATGGGATGTTTCTGGAGACCAATCACAGTGCAGTAATGCAACACCTCATTCACACTGATGCCCGGGTGTTTCAGCCAAGGAGCAGCAAGCGCTATGCTTCTTGTGGAGGTGGATTACCAGGAGCGCTCCAGCTGAAGAGTCCAGGCACTCTAAGTGCCTTGCCAGTGTGGACTGGTTGAGAGCTAGGGCGCCTGGGCTGCTTTAATGCGCTCTAACTTGCAAGTGTAGCCAAGCCCTAAGATTTGCACCTGCATTTCATTTACAGATTTAAAAAAAAAAAAAAGTAGGCATCGAAAATAGAAGGGCCACAGCCTAACTCCAGCTTTCCCCTAGAATGTATACCTTAATGAATATTCACAATAAGAAACTTTAAACAGATATTATGGGATTTGGGTTTTTGTTCTTCTACACGAGGCTCCAGTGCATTCAACAGAAATTGGTAGAAATACCAAGACTCTTATTTAATGTTTCCTGTGTTTAACACTGAGAAAACCAGAATAGACTTTTGAAAAATTTATACTAAAGTTAATAAAGCAGTTAAATAAAGTTATTAGATAATAAGCATTGCAGTTATGCTCCGGGGGTTCAAAAATATTTTCTTCTGGTGATAAGTATTGTTTTACTTATCACTAAAGATAGCTATTCTGTATTTGTCTTTTCATATATTTATTTCCTGAAATAGTGTTTTTAATTCAGGCTGGGAGATAAGAATTTAGCTCTTTATCTCTATACACAGATACCAAATTTTAGATTAAAATAGGAAGCTGCCTGACCTGTTAAATCATAAAATTAGGGCTGTCAAGCGATTAAAAAAATAAATCACGATTAATCATGTGATTCATCATGCTGTTAAACTATAGAATACCATTTATTTTAAATATTTTTGGATGTTTACTCATTTTCAAATATATTAATTTCAGTTACAACACAGAATACAAAGTGTACAGTGCTCACTTTATATTTATTTTGTATTACAAATATTTGCACTGTAAATGTATGATGCATTATAAATAAATGAAAGAAAAAAAACTGCAGTTACCAAAAATAACTGAACAAAGTACATTTGATGGGGTGTTGTTCTTACTTTTCTTATTGTGTATTCACTTACTTGCTAATTTATAAAATTCAGTAATTTGCAATAGATATTTCAGCCATTGGTGCAAATTAGCTAAATTTTGCTGAACTTACAGAAGTGTGTTTACCTTGTCAAGAATACTACAGAAGGCTTGTAGCTCACAGTACAAAGCGAGTGGTCTGGTGGTGTGAAGTATAGTTTGATGATGATGTACATCATTTATGGCATAGACATGTTTAACTTCGCCTGATTCTGTGCAACAAGCTCAAATTAAATGAAACACTATTCTTACAGAACACAGAACACACCTTGTACAACTACTATGAGGAGAAAATCCGTCCCTGTATTGATCTCATTGACTCCCTGAGAGCGCTCGGAGTAGAAAAGGACCTGGCTTTGCCAGCAATTGCAGTGATTGGAGACCAGAGTTCTGGAAAAAGCTCGGTTCTAGAAGCCCTGTCCGGAGTCGCTCTTCCTAGAGGCAGTGGTAAGAATTTACCTTTCACCTTTTCATCTCAGAAATCTGACTCTTCCCCGAGTTGCAGTGGTGTGTTTCTATCTGATATTCTGTACTTCATGTCAGTTTGGGCACACTGAAAGTTGGGTTAAGATTCATCCTTGGCACAACCCAAAAGAATTTGTATTTTCCCAATCCCATCATACAGAAAAATGTTATTTTGGGTCAATTGAAACATTTAGATTCAATAACATCGAAATGTTTTGTTTCAATGTTGACTTTATGTTCTAGTATAACTTAGAATATAAAATAAAAATTGAAACAAAAAGTCATTTGAAATGAAAAAAAAACCCAAAGTCAATAGTTTAGATTTTTCTAAATTAAATTTTGGTTAAGTCAACACATCCCAGAGGAGGTATCTGAGCCTCTAGCTATTATCTTTGGAAAATCATGGGAGACGGGAGAGATTCCAGAAGACTGGAAAAGGGCA